CTCTCTCTCTATATATATCTATATCTATATATATATATATATATATATATAGAATTGCACTCTACAACAATGCCCTACAATAAAATATCCACATATGTATAAAATCTGGAATTTCAAGTTTACATCTTATGCAAACAACCATTTGATCCTGTTAAACATCCAAGAATCAATCACTAAAATCCCAATAGTTTGTGTGGAACTTTAGTTATTAAAGGTCAGTAGCGATTTTGTTAGAGCTTCCCTGTCAAGGAGCAAAAAGCCTCCCCATAACTGCTCTCCTACTCAAATTTCTTAAACGCAGGCTTTGAATCTTTTTTTTTTCCTCCCCATTCCCCCCCCACTTAAAACAAAAACAACAATTTGACTATAAACTGTACCGCTACAAAATACAGTACACTGATTTGTCAAACTTTACACAACATAACCACAAAGATCACTGACCAAAAGTTAAGTTTCTCTCAAATACAAGAAAATGTTACAATAAGTTACGAAAATACGTAGTTACATTAGACACTTAAGTAGAACAGTAGAATACTCATGTAAGGCAAAATCAGGTGATTTCACAGTGACCAATTACAGAGTTCAGATTTTAGTGTTCTCTGGTTTAAAAACACAGACTCAGTCTGGACATATACTGGCTTTTCACTGGCAGAAAATGAATTTGGATGCATTTCCTACTTGAGGAGAAATAACTTTTACTGAGAAAACTGTCAGGTAAATCAAATGAAACCATGCCATTTCTGGAGCACGCAGCATTTTCTGGAGCTGTGCTGAAAACTGATCTTTTGATCTGACTGACGGATTGCAGCATGGCACCGTCTGCCACGTCCTAATCAGAGAATGGCACAATGAACACCAAAGAGCAACTATGGGGAGGTTTTGCACTCCTTCATTAACCAAGTATCTTAACACATATATAAATATGTTAATAAATAGACAAATTACATCAGTGCAAATTTACACTATGCCTACAAAGAGCATTTTGGCATCAAATTTAAATTAAAAGATGGAATATAAAATCTAACCAAATAAATAAACAAAACATATAAATACATAAATCATCAAAACATACAGTACATAATGAAAATAATATTTAGTTGTCAAAAATAAAGCTTTGTGTGTGAAATAGAAAGCTGTTACGGCATGATGGAAAACCAGTTCATATGTTTGCAAGGTAAAAGCAAACCAGCTGTGTTTTTTCTTTTTTACGAACACAGACGTTATAACAGGAACGGTTTAGCCCAATGTCCTAGCAGCTTCCTGCTACAAGCAAATACAAACAAAAAAACAAAACAAAAAAAAAAACAAAGTAGATATAATCAGCATCAAATGTGCATTTTTGGAATATATGTGGCATGTAATGGTACACTGTAAACACAGCAGGCTAGCGAAAGCGCTGAGCGACCAATCTCATTGAAAACGACAGCAAGGCCATTCCCCAGCAAGCCACTGGATGTCTTTTTCCCTGTTGTCTTTTGGTGGCGCATCATTTCAAAGGGTTTCACAGAATCAAGGGCGAGGTCAGACAGGTGGATGGCCATGCAACGAGGGAGAGGGTTCATCCTGCCCTTTGTTTCTCTCCATTCACAAGAATTTTTCTTCTTGTTCTAGACCACAGTCAGCATCTTAGGTTACAGCCTGTCCATTCTAAAAGTGTCCTCAGTGGCAGGGTCGGCGAGCACCATGTCAGGGTCGTTGAGCATGTGCAGTCCGTCTAGGGTGAGCGGGTCGATCTTCAGCTCATCCAGAGGAAACTGAGAATCTGCATCAAAGCTGACATCACCAACACCAGCCAGAGAGTTGGTCAGCTCTTTGGAGAGGCTCGGTGGAGACTCACCTGTGACTGAGATATGAGTCGTCAGATAGGAGTCAGCACTGACACCTGAGAAGGACAAGGCAGGTCTGGCAAACATCATGTGAACAGATTTTAGACAGCTCTTTTTTCCACAAGCAACACTAACTAGCACTGGTATAATGGTTACAGTATGTTTGTAATTTTGACAATATATTTAGACATCTATGAAGATTCACTATTTTAGAGATGCACCGATCAATCAGCAGAGATCAGAAATGCATGTCCAGTGTAACAACCTGTGGTAAAGCAGAGTAAATACAAACTACACACACTTGAAAAAGAACTGTGCTCAACAGAACTGATGTAGCAGACACTCTTCTGTTTCTGTAGCACCTGTTTATAGTTGGAAAAATATTGCACTTCATTTTTAACTGGAGGTTTGAAAAGTTACCAAAAATGTCTGTGCATGCCGTCAATTACAGTTATTAGAAAAACAGAAAAGTGAAATCTGAATTGGCAGGTCAGACAAAAAAAAAAAAAAAAAGGCCAAGAAACTTGCAATTGATGCATCTCTAACTCTAATCAATTTACAATTAATTTGTACAAAAAATAAACACAAATTACCACAAACAATTACAGATTAAGACAGAATAAATCTTCTTAAAACAAGGTTATTTTCAGTTTAAAGAATTATTAAATGACACCCTGGGAAGTAATTTTAAAGGTCTGCACATTTGTGCTGATGCAGCATCAAACATTTAAAGAAATCTACAGTTTATTACAACTTGAGTTTTCTTTTTGCAGCATCCTGCTATTTATACATCATTTATAACACTGCACTTACCAAAGAAACTGTTAAGATCTCTGAATATGGTGATAGCACTTAAATAGGACTAGTGGAGCAACAACACAAGTGTGCGTCATAAACAGTTTAGCCTTATAAGCTAAACTACTTTATTTAGATATAAAACCAAAAATGAGATGCAGCAAGTGAGGGAGGTTAAAGCTGGACTGCAAGTCAGTCTATAGCCTGTGATGGCTGCTTAGCACTAACAGACTGAGCTGTACTTTTACAGCTCACCTTATTTTTCTCCTCCAAATAAACCAAGTAACCTGTATTTATAGTGCAACTACTGCAACACTTTGACAAAGTATAATTTTGCTTTGAGTCACTGAACTTAAAAGGATAAAAATTACATTGGGCTTTGCTTGTGCCTCAAGCACAGAGCACATGCAACAAGAGGGCTGTCACATAACCCCCAAACACCATATTTACACTCCCACGTTCGACTTCTCACTTAGTAACATGTCCAAACCTTTGCACATGCTGCAATTACGATTTTATTTCCCCCCCATCTTTAAAAGTCATGAAATAAAAAGGAAAGTTTCCATAAAAAAAAAAAAAAATAAATGGCATTTTCCCACACAGTTGTAACTGGAAACCCCTGAGAAAGGAATGGCTGTGTTTAAGAGTCCCACTTGATCATGGTCAAACACAGCACAACCACAAGAAAGAGGTATATCGAATGAATGTTGTGGTGCTGCTACCTGTTAGGATGATGTTGGGGATGTTGCTATGGCTACTGTAGCTCAGCTGCTGAGAGTCCTGCAGGCTGCTCCCGGTGAGGCCCATCATGGCTGCCTGGGTATAGTTGAGCGTGGAGCACTGGTTGTATAAGCTGGTGGAGCTGATGGGGTTCTCAATCATGTTGAACTGCTCCAGCTAGAGAGCAGAGGGTTGTAGTCCAGTGTCAACTCAAAAACTAGTTGAAGAAAACATTTTGCCTTTGCTGCTTATAAAGCGCCGTAGTAGCGAGTCCTATAACCAGGAACAGATTCCGAATTTTTGCACTTCTAGTTCCCTTGTACTGAAGTTAATAAGTTTTTTGAATGGGTTTCTAATTAGACACTTAAAAGAAGGCCTGTGTTTAACACAAGGCCAGTACAGGTTCATGATTTATTCTACAACATAAAGTGCATGAGTAAATACCTCACTTGAGATTTTTAATGATTTTGCACGTCCTAAAAAAGGTGGTTTCTAACACATGGCTAAATGTGATTACACAGGCCGTCTGGGATTTTACACATCATCACAGAGACACATCTGGTCACTGGCCCGCCTTTTCAACCTGCAAACTGCTGTAGCTAATGGACACAGCCACAATCACTAACTAGTTCAGGTCACACTAAGAGTAAAGGATTTTGTAGAAGAGGTGAGCATGTTAAATCATATTACATGTTGGAAGCAATGGTGGTGACACTGAAGTCATGGGACCGTGGTGTAGTTTGTTTATAGGCTAACAATAGCTTTTCACCTCTGGTGATGGTATTTGGCCTTCAAAAATCGTAAAAGTGGTGTCCACTTGTGTCATAAACTTTTGTTCGTCACAGAGCTTATTTTCTGCAATAATCCAAAAGCCTGGGGGGGGGTTGGCCTACACAAACACGTCATCCCTACGGCACTCTATTGCTTGTGTGTTCTACGTCACCTGGTGAGAAAGAGCATTAGTCTGCCTCGATGCCAACTGCTGATCGTAGAAGGAGTCACCAAATATACTGCCCACAACAGGGATATGCTGGAGGAAGAGATGCAAGATGCAAAGTTCAGAACAGCTGGCAAGATAGCAACTACAATTAACACACAAAATGTGAGACAGAAGGCTCGTTATCCTGACAATTCAGCGATGGAATAACTGAAAACAGAAGCAATACACAAACTGTACACAAATGACACAACTGTAACACTGTGCAGTGGTGGAAGACGTAAAGTTATGAACATGAAGTAGCTGTTTGTGCCATCCCTGCAGATAGGGCACACAACAGTGCAGTAGTGTGTTGATCACAGCAGCCCTGTTCATGACGACACAAACACAAATCAACTTGTCAAATGGGAATTCTGCTATCTGCCAATCGAGTGTTATTCTCACATTTTAGATCGTTACAACTGTCAGCCATGGAAACATTTTACTCACCACTTGTGCTGGGAAACACAGACTCCAACAATGACAAAGGTTAAACAGACAAAGTAGCACAATGATCCGACAGCTTTGTGAAAAACAAAAAGTTATTCAAGTTCCTTTTGGAAAGCTGTAGGGAATGTTTGCTGGGGTTCGTGTTTTCCACATCTGTACAGTGAAGGAGGCCATTAAAACACAAAAGTATGAGAACACAACCCAGGTTGACAAATGCTGGCTTTTCCCTTCACAATATTCTTGCAATGAGAAAGCACCACTGAACACAGAGCCAACACTGTGTGACTGGCTTCCTTTGAGTGGTGGAACCCCAGTCCAACATTAGCCTTTTAGTTACTGATGCAAACAAGGAGATATTAATCAGTGCTTCCTCATATTTTTAAGTCATCTATTTTGCACATTAACTAAAATGCTTGTTATACATTTTTTTAGCTGCCATTTTAGCTTTTAGCTTTTGACAGTAACTGCATTTCTTGCTGTGGCCTTGCAACCTGAAAAACACTAAACACTGAGTGTATTATTAAAACACATGCAGCCCTCCCTCTTTTTCTTCATGACAAATGTTTCACTGAAGATGGAATAAAGCTCTGATGACTCTTCCCCAAAGAAGGCCGTGGCACATTGTTTGTGTGCATGTAAATAACAGATGTGAAGTGAGGCAGTGTAGTGCACTGTGTTCCAGCAACTCAAAATACATGGGAGAATTACTCTGAAATAAACAACAACATAAAACCAATTTGTTCAAAAATGAATTTCCGCCAAGCTTAAACCAAGCATGTATAAACTGCACTGGCCCCAAATTAAGAACACAGAGTTTTCTGGAAATTAGGTTTTTTTAAAAAGCATCAGTTGTCTTATATTTGAAGATGAGACTTTCTAGGTGCTCAGAGTACCTCTGTAACACAGTCTGCTGAATACAGGGACTCGATAAGAAAACACAGAGGATTAAGGGTCGTTTGTAGCCTTAATGTTACTAAGCTATCAGGTGTTTAAGTTTGTTCACCACGAGTCTTTTAGAGTTGCTCGCACTGAGTGCACTGAAGGGGTGCACTAGAAAACAAAATGAGAGCACTGTTGTGAAACGGAGTGCAGCACAATAACAGTTTTATCTTGATTATTTTGTTTTCATAATGATTAGAATAATCATAATTGAAAATACAATTCGATTAATTGCCCAGCCTAACTGTCACAGATGAGGAGCTAAAAACACCTCACTGTCTGAAAATTATTCTGATTGATGAAAGTTTAAATTTGTGACTGACTGGTAAGATACTCAAATGTGGGTTTTATGTATTACAGTATTACCTATACACAATAATCTCTATGTACTGCAGCTTACCACAAAAGAGTAGTGTAGTTTCAGTCATGTGTAGCTTAAACTGAAACGTTTCAATTTTGCTGAATTTACATATACTGTATATGGTCAGGGCCTCCATCAACAAACTATTGCCATTTTGTCATGCACACAGTAAAGGGTGACAGTGGTGATGAAGAAATGAGTTATGCAGCTGTTGACACCATGAGTAGTTAACTGCTGATACAGAATGAAGAGCGGCCTAACCCAGCTACAATTAGCTTTCCCCAAACAGCAGCTAGCTCTGTGGGTAGGCCCTTACTTGAGGCGAGCCGCCAGGGGAGAAGCCTTGATTGGAGACTGGGGAGGTTGGAGACTGAGTGGCTGGTGAGCCAGTCTGATTGCGGTACTGTTGGAGGGAAGAGGGTTAACTAGCACTAAACTTCATGCTTGACACACACACACACACACAAAGGACAGGAAGTGAAAAGGCATTAGCCAAGGATCTGCTCATTATGTGCAACGCGTATACAAGCATGTGGGAAATGTTACCAATCACTTTCAGATAAACTGTGGGACAACTCTGTGGCTCTCCAGAACATGTAACTGTAGAATAGGAACATTTGCTGGTCCTACTCTAGTTAAATAGAATAGTAATATCACCACTGTGTTATGTACAATGGTCAAAGGTTATTACCTCATATCAGCCATTTTGTTAGTTTAACAGTACACAAAAAGTCAAACAACTACATCCAGAAATGCCTTAACCCACACAAAAGCTCACTAAGAAAACTTTGTCAGCTTTAACAGCAACAACTAATAACATAATCAGTCAAGAGTAAAAATATGTTCCTCCTAATAAAGGTAAGTTATTGTGTTATTATTATTACTGAGTTATTGTGACAAATTAACGTCAGGGCCTAGGAGCATAAAGTGGATGTGAAGATATTTACTGGGATGCACTTTGGGTAGGTGTAGAACTTTCCAAACAACAGAGTAACAAAATGAATAGAAGCTTAAGAATAAGCAAAATGGTCCCAGTCGCTTCAGACTTTAATTTCTGCTTCCACTGTCTGACCTGACCTCCTGGTTGCTTACCGAGCTGACGCTGGCGGTGGTCTGGCTCTGACTGTCTGGGGAGGGACTGCTGGCTGTGCCTGTACCAGAGGAAGCCAGAGTTGGCAAGGTGATGAGCTGAATGCCCTGTGGCAAGGCCTGCTGCTGCTTCTGAAGGTCGCTGAGCAACTGCGCCTGGGCCTGAGCTGTCAGCTGGTTGAACAGGGGGTACTGGGTGAGCTGCTGCTCCAGGGTCAACGGCTCTGTCGGCACAGCCTGAGGAAAGATGCAGATATGCCCAGTTTAGGCTAGTCCAATAAAGGGTGTTGTATGCTGAATTACCTGGAAGATTATTTTAGCAAAATTTCATCCCTTTGCCCTCCTTTTGCTTTAGCAGCTGGTTTGACTGTTCCATTGCTATAGATACACCAGGAAAAGCCGCATTTTATGGAGCATAAATAATAGTGTGGAGACACTTGTGTAAAAATTAAGCATTGGTTGAGTACCTTCTTGAGTCAGCTGTATAGAAACCACAGTGTTCAACCTAAACCAGCTCCAGTGCGGTGACTGGCCAATCGCAGAACTCAATGTTATTGTTGAGTGCAGCAAAAAAATAAAAATAAAATAAAATTTAATTTAAAACAAAAAGAGGCCATGTAAGATAGCCCAGCTGGCCGTTACCTGTGTGATGTTAACAGGTGAGGACAGGGTGGGGGAGAGCTGCTGTGGGGACTGTTGAAGCTGGAGGTCAGAGGTGAGGGTGAGCGGCACCACTGGAGGTTGCCGGCGCTGTGCTGTTACAGTCATGGTGGGCTGAGAGGAGGTGGGGATCCCTGAGAAGCAAAGAAATACACATGGAAAATGTGCTGAATCTAACTCAACTTAAACCTACTAAATGATGTTAAAAAAATCTTTAGGACTAGAAGCTTGAACTACAATACATTGCCATTTTTTTCTTAAAAAAATAATCTGTATGATTAAATGATTAACAATAGTTGATCAATTTCCTGTTGCCAAGTCAAAACAAACTATATGGGATTTAATTTCCCCCATTATCTAACAACAGTGGCCACTGTATCCTATCTCTCAAATAATTTTGCTAAGTTTGTGTTCAAAATATAAACTGTAAAAAAGCGTGCAATGCAGAACAGCATGCTAACGAGACATCAGGCCCCATGTTTTTGTACAGTTCTTACATGGTGCTTTGGGGTTTTCCAATTTTAGCATTCAAATGAGAGGCTGCAACTAATTGATGTTGTTGAGCTAAATTGATCATCAGCTCACGAAGGCCAAGCCGTCTGAAATGATGAGAAGGCAGCCAGCAGCCTGCTGATCCAGACTCAGCACTCATGCACACAGAATAATATCCCGCTTCCTTCTGGGAGTCTGAAAATACTGTTGACATAGTTGTGAATTTTGTTTCAGAAACTGCTCTTGTACATGTACAAAGAAAACTCCTAGCTTTTCAATATATATTAGCTCTTCTACTTTCCCACTTAATGAACATGAAATAACAGTCATTACCATGGCTGGCAGCGCTGATGCCCAGGTGGGTGAGGTTGGTGGTCAGGCTGCCTGTGCTGTTGGATGAGGTGAGAGAGGGGAAGGCCACGGTGTCCTCGGGGTCCAGTGGGGTGGACAGTGGAGGAGGGAACTGGATATTGGTCAGATCAGGCAGAGAACCACCAGTGTTGTGTGCAGCTGGGAGCATGGATGGGATCAATTCCTGGTCTGGTGATGGAAATATACTAACAAACACAAGTTCTGTCAGTCTTGAGAAATGCTAGTTTGATATTTAGTTTTAAACAAAAACACTGATACTTTATGCCCTATTTAATATCTCTAAAGCTGGCCATTTCTGAACTAGTAACATGACTTTCCTTGATATTAACCTATAAAATAAAATTCTAAAAACCATTTTAGGGCTAGCAGAACTTTAATTTAGGATGACTGGACAAACCAACTTCACTGCAGGAGAAACTATGAGATACATGAGAATCTTAAAAGACCCAGTCAAAAGACAGATTTGTTTTATTACACAATAGGGCATAGAGTTCTACTTGATATGTCTAGCTGTGTTGCTCATCTTCACTCTTAAGATACTATTGCATATTGTAAGACAGTTGCATTCAACTTTTCTGCCTTTATTTTTTACAGTCTGGCAGCCTTCCCCCCTTTTTTCTGCCCCCATCTAATTTTTAAATGTATTTTGTTTTTCTGGTTTGGATGCTTGGGTTCATTGACGCTTATTTGAAAATGTAAGATCAAAACTATTTTTTTAAAGGGCCCAGTCAATTGAATAAAAAATTGTAAAGTGGGACTAATTAATAAAAGCATTTTGTTCTTCTTAATTGATCATATTTGAAAACGTAGGTCTAGGTTGACAGACATTACTGACAGTCATATTTCTATATTGATAGTATTTTCAGAAATCTCCATACAGAGACTAAAACCAACAATGAATTGCCTCTACTCGTGGTTAATGTCTGCTACCTGTCAGTCCTGGATTAGCTTGCAACAGGTCACCGCTGTTGTTCAAAAATGGCTAAAAACATCAGGGAGACTCTCGTAACAAGTTCTCAGCTTTGTTTACATTCTGCTAGCTCTTCACAGTCAGGTCTGGAGTTTGCTAATGAATATGTCACCCAGTGATGTGTTTTTAATCATTTTTGACCAACAACAGTGGTCTATGGCACAGGTGAATAGGATAACCCAGCACTGACAGACATCAACTGTGAGTAGAGGCAATTTATTGTCAGTTTTATTCCATGTATGGAGTGTTGAAAATACAGTTAATATAAAAAATGGCCATCCTTATACTTTTGCACTATCAGATAACACTAAAATCTGTTGATTTATATCAGCCTGTGTTAAACTCCCAGAATTTTGGCAAAAATCTACCCTTTAATAAACAATTGTCTAAACATCAATTTAACCTTCATTTTTTTTTTTGCTGAAAAT